CGGCCAGTCTCAGCAAAACGAGGTGTGGCAGGAGGAAATCAGGTATTTACAAGAGTTGGCGGGACGCTAGAAATTAAACACATTTGCAGCCAAATCGACAGTTTTCACTTCATAAAAGGCTTTTCCTGCATTGCGGGGTGCCGAAGAAAGACCAAGAAGTAAAACCCTCTTGACTCCTCAGCCAGATGATGCCTAACACCAACTCACAGCCGATACGAGCCCATCTCGGCACCTTCAACTGCCACAACTCAAAGTGACCAAATCCACTGCCCACCTCTCTCGGCCCCCTCCCTCCCCCTCAGTGAAGGAGGGCAGCAGGACACCCGGCACCCCAGATGCTGGAGCCTCTGCCCGAAGAAGCCGTATTTTCACGGGAGGACGCCCGCCCTAGAGGGGGCTAGGTTCACCACACACCAAAAAAAAATCGGAGCGGTGCTGGCGATGGGAGCCCACTTGGCTCTTCGCTGAACTCGGGCAGTCAACGCACACCCCCCCTCCCCTCCTCCTTAAACCACTCAACCGTTTCTAAAAATCAGTTACCACATCTTCGATCCTAAGGGGTTTTTTTAACCAATTAGCTGGCAGATATTTCCTCTGAAAGGCTGAGATGAGGCAAGTCTAGAAGCCCAGCACAAAGGATGTAAAAATCGGATGTCGGAGCACAGGCAGAGGAGGTGTTCTGCACCAGCACCACCTCACGGGCTCCGGCTGCTTGAATTTGCTGACCCACAGCTCTTTCAGACAAGCCTGGTTTATCCCACCCGGGACAAGTGGGAGCCATCCCCACGCGGTGGCAAACTTGGCCACCAGCCTTGACCCAAACAACCTTGGAAGAACAACCCTACATGACCTCTGTCAGGACCAACAGGTCCATCCTGCTCATAAAGCCTTCCAACAAGACAGAGGTCACATCCTCCTTGGGCAACCTCTGCTGCTGCCACCCTCCTTCTACCATGACAAGTCCTCCCTAAAGCCTAACCTCAACATCCAGTAATAGGATTTAACTCTTTGCCTTTTGATTTCATCCACCGCAGACAACTCACCGCACCTTCGTAATTCCAAGCTTCTGCCAAAGATCTAGCCTCAAATTCACTTTCTGTCTCCACTCGGACCACGGCCCAGCTTTCATGGTGCAGGGGGGGGTTGGCAGACAGTGGCGGGTTTTGCGTGGGGTGGTTATAAAGCTCTCTCCGCTTTGGGTTGCTCCTAGATGGAGGTGATCGTCGGGGAGTTTGGGATCGTGGTGGTGCCCCGGGATGGAGCAGACCCCGACCGGATCATGAACCACTCCTCCATACTCCGCAAGTACAAAGTAAGCGGATGCACGCGTGGCCAGGGAAGGCTGTGAGAGGACCCACAGGCTCTCCTTACCCAGGGAAGCACGTCTGCCATGGGGTTCAAAACATCTCTGGGCCAGATGCTCTCAGCTGCTAGGTGGGCCGAGCAACGGGGCCACCACGCAGCAGCCCCCCGTGGCCAGGGGTGCGGGGAGGCTGGCGGGGCAGACACCCCCCTTCAGGCCATCCCTTCACTCCTCTCCATCCTCCTTCCCCTGCAGAACAACATCCTGGTGGTGAAGGACGACTCAAACCATCCCATGTCGGTTGTCAGCTCCACCAAAAGCAGGTGGGTGATGCAGGGGGACTCCCACTGCAGAGGGGGACAGAGGGGTACCCCCAGCCAGCCCCTCCATTTGGAGGGGTACCTGACCCACCCAAGACAGGCTTTGACCTCTTTTCTCTGCCCCTGCACCCCCAGACTGGCCCTGCAGCACGGGGATGGACACGTCGTGGATTACCTCTGCCAGCCCGTCATCGACTACATCCTCAAGAGCCAGCTCTACATCAACGCCTCCGGCTAAGCGCCAGAGGTCTTGCAGCGAGACAGCCCTCGCGTCCCACCTGCCTACAGCTCTCCATCACTCTTTTTTCTCTCTCTCTCTCTCTCTCAGTCTGTGTCTCCATCTCTCTCCCCACCCCATGGCCTCCTGCCCGCGTCTGCCTCTCACCCCCGGCGCCAACGCTCCATCGTGCAGCAATGTCCAGGGAACCGCGGCACAGCCCCGAGGGGAACGGTTTGGTCTCTTTTTTTTTCAGGGAACTGCCCTCCCCCTCATACGTGAGGAAGGAGGGAGGGGGGAACCAGTAAGAGAGCAATGTGCTCGGTGCGCTTGAGGGGAGGCAGCTCCAGTACCCCCCTCCCAGCATGTCACTGGGAAATGGTCCCCCCGGTCCGTCTTCCCAGCACGCTCAGAGCAGGGGCTTCCTCTTCTGCATCATCTTACAGTACTTACGCTCAATAAATCTAGGCGGACTTTTTTTTTTTCTTAAATAGTTTTAGTGCCAGCCCTTTGGACCTCTCGACGCAATGACCCAACGACTCCTGGTTGGCAGCGGGCAGTTGTAACCCAGCTGGTTCGGTG